TTATATTGATAAATATGCATTATTATTAAATACATGTTAAAAATTGTAAAAAGCTTGTTTCTTATTGGCACTTTAATTTATCAGAACAGGTGCATGCAATTAATATAGGCCTAGGGCTATTGGACAGTGTGCAGGTGCGAGAATGGGGAACAGCCTAGGCCTATGTGACTTCAAGCCACAGCTTCCTATTTGAGCCTACTGCAGCCTCCAAGAGCATCACAACTGGAGGATAGATATTACAGTCCATCGCAGGTGCTTCCACTTCAAATATGCTGCCAGATTTCCTCCACAAGGATTTGAATACTCATCTTAATAAAGTTTATGCAGGTTTTTGGAGCATGTTTCTGCCAGTAGCTTGCAGTCAGGCTTCTAGGCTTCAAAATAGGAATTCGTCTTACACATGCCTAAACACCATTAACCACAATAGGTGAGTTTTCTATTTTCCAAGTATTTCTCATGATATTTTCTGAAGACGCTTGTAGTCACCTTTCTCAAAATGACCATAGGCCTAAATACTGACAAATGGCAATCAAGCCAAAAATAGTCACATTATAACAAGGGTTTGTCAAAATTGAGTGAATGCCAAAACGCTCAACAGTGAGTGACCCCAATGTGTGCGCATTGTGTTCACATTTAACAATAAGGTCCTTTCACCTTTTAGAGCTTTATATCTTCACCAAGTCTGGAAAAATGTAATGCGAACAATTTTATGTTTTGAGAGTCTGGGGGTTAGATTGAAAGTTAAAGTTAACTAGCCCCGGTAGTTAAAAGCTGCGCGATAGTTATTGTCGTTATATCTGCGGTTGTTCGGGGTCCCTTGCTCATTAAATAATTCCCCTCAAGGCATCGCTATTTAAATGATTACGTTGTTATTAAGGCGGATAAGCCTTTCATATGCCTTTGGTTTGAAACTCGCTTGAATTTCCCCCACTGTTAATGAAGCCCTACGGTTTTATGACGGTTTTTAACTGGTGTTTTCTTTCCACAACAAGAGCGGGGAAAGAAAACCTAAATAAAATCTCACACTAAACAGTGAAAGGAGTGTTTGTTTTCGCCTAGTCTATGAGATTATCTGGAGAAAACATGGAAGAGACCCTTACACAAACACTGTCAGCGAGTAACAAATTAATTATGCAATTATTTTCTAAGTTAAAGCTAATACAAAATGGATAAAGATCAAGAGAAAAAAAGGTAGGCCTATGGTTTTTACTCCGTTTATTTTATCTTAGAATATTCCTTTACTGTGTGGCATACTGGAATTATTTACATCGAAATAGAATAGAGGGGATATTGCCTATAATATCAATTTCATTCACAGACCCAAATCCCACTATTTTACCATGCCTGCATTTTTATACCAGTTTTTATCTGAGATGGGAAGGGGTAAAAAAAAACGATGTTAAATTAAAAGCCACCTAAATGATTCCTGCATTTTCACAGACCCTGTAACCAAAATACAGGTATCGGGTCTGTGTGAATGGTTCTCTACTTTTTTGCAGATAAATTCATTAACACTTCCATTGTTTAATACCTCCCTATTTTGAAATGCAAACAGACCGCATGGTTTAACAACACCACCCACCCACCACCCCTACCAATTTGCCAGTTACCCACTGATATGTATAAAATGGATATACCTGCAAGCATGTGGTAAATAAGGGGCTGTTCGAAAGAGAGTCATATAAACATTGCCTTATATATTATTTTTTACAGGTAGCATAATATTCCACATCTTCTGTCTGAAATGGACATCTGTGATATGGTACAACTGCTATGGTATTCTATGGAAACATAAATCAAAAGGCTCAACTACATTGTTCAAAATATGTGTTTTAATAAATAAGTGTATTTATTTTTTTACATTGGACAGAGTTGAAAGACTTGCTTATAAGTCAAATCTGGAAAAATCCATGCAGCGTACTCCAAGAACGTATTCTAAATTGCATTGGTCCCTTTACAAGCTGAAGATTCATACAGGTAGGCCTATGTACAATACGAAACATTTATATATACTTCTATTTAGAGTTTTTAAAAACAGAACGAAATATAATTTCCCAAAAAAGATAAAAGATGGCTTTTCCTACTATCATCACCATTCCGACATTAAAACAACGTGATAATGCGCCAGCAGCAGACACGAGAAGCGTCTTACAACACTGTCTGAGTATGCAACTTTTCAGGGTTAACTTCACTCCTTCGCACACTGTTCCAAGTGTTAGGTAATTGCACTCAAAGCACTCCAGGAGAGTTGTGTGCCACATTACGCCTCTTGACCATGTTTCTGAAGATCCTTTGGTGTCTTCATACTTTGTAGAAGTAAACATTCTATCACGGGAAAAAGAAAACATCAAAATGTTAGTGCCAATTACCAATATTACAGCTTGCAATGCATATACGTTATCAAACAATAGGATTATTACTAATACATTACATGCATAGTTTTATTGCACTTAATTCCTGAACGAGATTATATAGGATAGCCATGACACAGTGCCTTGCCTATTGGCCTTAAGGGTGGCACACGTGTCTATTTGAAACGTTCACTGGCATAGGAAGTCATTAATGAAACAATTATTTGTCCCTGAGTGAAACCATATGTCAACAACGGAAAGGGATTTCATTTTAAATGTGACGCATAAACCACAGTGGCCTATGGAATTGCATCACTGGAAAAAATATGAGCAGGCCAAACAGACTGTAGGGGATATGAGCACCTGTCCGTTTTAGGATGTTTTCATTTATATGGAAGAGTGAACATCATAAATCTATGATAAATATTTATGCAGTAATATTATTCATAATGTAGCCTATGCAAATGCACATTTCTATATTCACAGTAGGCTATTACGAAGATTACATTTCCTTTCTGTAATTTCTGAGGCAAAGCTTAAATGCAGCAATTATGTTCGTAGGCCTATTAGATTTTAGATGGCCGTTTTGTTTCTTGAATTCGTTTAGTAAATATTAGTAGGCTACAATTTGATATACAGATATTTTGTGGTTAAATACATTTGGATTTGTTTGATTGATTAGCTAGTTTAAGAAAAAACAGCTATTCTGATTACATTATCAAATAGCATAATGTACGTGTCACTAGTATTACGAGTAGCCTAATATAGGCCTCATGATTTCAGCCGCATACATTGTTGAGATTTTTTTAATAAATGTCGTTTAACAATAACAAATTAATTTTAAGACCAGCTTTCTCACTTACTTTTCTTTGACATTCCACACAGACTAATGAAACCCAAAACAGCATTGACAGCAGAATTGGATACGGAAAAGACGTCCGCTTAAGTTCGAGAAAGGCCACCTTTAAATCTACAGTGCGCAAATCAGCATAGTGTAGTTTATTTGTCCTCTTTACAGAGGGGCTGTTTTATACGAGTGGGTGGTCTGTAAACTTCATGGTACCAGTCCATGGGAACTAAACAAACCAAAAGCAGGCTTTATTTAACTGAAAATGTTTCCGTCACTGTCACGATTTGGAATAAATGTTTAACTCGTGTTTCAAGACATCAGTAACCTACTTAAAATTGGTGGGCTAATATTCAGAGCATAAATATTATTTTGGCCTATAGCTAATCTGTTAAAAAGATGTAGGCATATTAAGAATTTTCCAAATATTTTTTTGAAGCAGCCTACAATTTTTTTTACATATCGGCCTATGCAAATTTCAAGGCTCTCCATTGTACAAAACTGTATATTAGAATTAGACTAGGCTACTACAATTAAATTAGGCCTAAACCCAATGGCACTAGACAAGAAAACAAATGCACTATCAGATGGTTTTGTGGCATGCATAAATGAGTCTCAATGGCTTGCTTCACAGCTCAAAGACGGACAACGGTTAGGGCAACGGTGTGCAATGATAAGGGGAGCAGAAACTGTCAAAAGACCGTAGCCATTTTTGACTTGCCGCCAGTATAGCCACTATGCCTAATGCGCTCGCATCTTTAATAAAACGCTGGTTTGAACTCTCGGGCCCAAGTCGAGCGTTGCCATTCCTGCCGTTTCCATACAGGAAAACGCTCCATTGTGAATGTGAATTACCCGTGGTAGGCTGTTCAAGGCTACTGCGTTTTGATGCTGCCTACCCCTCTGTCTGCCATAGGCCGTAGAGGCCTAGCATCTTAAAAAGTCGTTAAGAACGGACAAGGATTAAGTGCAAGACTCACATATCACTGCCGAGTTTAATGTGTTTTCGAGCTGTCATGCCACTCACAGCAAGAAAAAACCCTGAAGTTTCAACCATTTCACTCCCCCAGTGTCAGTGAAGCATATTTTATAGTCGTCTTTGGTTGCTACCTCAGTGTTTGGCAAGTAAAACATGTTCCAAAACCATTATTTAGGCTACATTCATAACACCAAGTCCCTATGTCCATAATCATACAGTAGCCATATTCTCGTTGTAAATTAAGTGTTCCACGACCCTCACTAACATTTCAAAAGACATATGCTGATGGAGAACTTGTCTAACTGTGTATTAACCTGGCTCGTGCTCAGGTCATCCACATGCGCTTCTGCGCGCCAGACCCCAGGTGCGCGCGGACTGGTGAAATGTTTGCAAGATGCAGATGCCATGGCATGGATGTTAAAGAATGTTATTTGTATAAGGCTACCCAGATGACTTTCATGAACATTAACTGAGTAATTGGGTAAGCTACACTTATTCCATTCATAATTGACTATATTAAAAGGGAAATGGTTTCGCTTTCAGATCATTTGTGCAATAGCCTACCTGACCCTGACTTTTAGCTAAAGCCACAACATATTTTTTTCAGGATCATTAACCTACAAACTATGTCAGGTTCTTATGTTTGCCCTAAGATGTCCTACTCTTATGTTCACAGCCTTTATGCATAATAGCCTACTAATACTACTAATAATTTAGGACTAGCAAAACATTGTAGCAATTTTTTTTGCTTTGTATTTTCGCATGAGAGCTAAGGCTGCATTTGCCACCTACCGCTTTGGCATTGAGTGAAGGGCTTTGGGTGCTAATGAGATGCAGACATTGACCACGCGCCCTCCATCCGCCACACGGAGAAAGCGTAACTGAGTCTCTCGTGCGCAACATAGCTGCAGCTCGACATCTTATTGTCCATCTCGTCGCTTTGCAGCACCTGATAGAGGAAGTCTATGTATCTGGAGGCAAGTTTTAGTGTCTGGATCTTGCTCAGTTTATCCGAGGGTAGCGTGGGGATAATTTTGCGTAAAGACGAGAAGGCTTCGTTGAGCGACTGTGTCCTTTGCCTCTCCCTGACGTTGGCCAGGCACCGCTGGTTCTGCAACTCCTCGTAGGACTGAGTGCTGCTGCTCGGACTCGGTTTTTTGCCCCGTTTCACGTTACCGGGACTGCTGTCCTCGCTCGACTTTTTACTGTGTCTCCTCTTCCTTCCAAATCGTTTCTGTTGTCTGTCCAATTCATCCTCACTGGTCAGTAGGCTATCCACAGGGGAGACAGGAGAACTTGAGCCCTCTTCCATTTCTCGTTTAAAGAAATGCAAGGATAGCAAAGAAAAAACGGTCTCCACTTTTGAAGCCGTGGTTACAAAATATATCCGAATATGCAGACACCGACAGAAAGTAAAAATGTCTTTCTCTACAACTATAATTTTCTCTACGTTTTGGGAGTAGGATACTTTCAAACCTACGCTTTAGGTAGTCCTTCTCCCGCAGCAAGTTTTTCCCCAATTTTTTTGGGGAACTTTATCCAAGTTTCAGATGCTAAATAGTTGTCTGAGAGAAGAGGGAGGCAGTATCGGGCTCTGATTGGCCAGCTAATAAACAGGAGGGGACAGTCTTATGTTACACTACATCGCTCTAATATAGCAGCCCAGGACCTCAAAACAGAATCATGTCAAAACAATCAAATATGAATAACAAAAGTAACAATATACCTATTATTATTATTTGTAATAATTCATGTTCTAGCCTACCTCTTCCATAATTGGTATGAAATAGACTATAACTATTTCATAACAACTAAAATATAATAGACCCTTAAATATATATATATAGCATGATTATTAGGCCTTTGATAAATGCATAATTAATATTATGAAAAGTGTGTTGTTTTATAATTATAGTCATTACGGGATTAAATGGGTATTGCTTATCTTAATACAATAGTGACATCTTCATGATGAATATGATAAATGATAAATATAAGCCTATGTAATAACCAAAATATAAATAGGCTGGGCCTATATGTAATCTGAAAAATCTATATAGTTGCGGTCTCTCTATTATGCATTTTAGTAGGCCTAATAGCTTACATGATTACAAAATGAAATTCACATTTTATTCTATTCTTTAAATTCAGTAAACATTTTGTTAGTGAGCTAGGTTTAACATACCGTATTGTAATACATACAGGGGAAATATATACTCTTGTTCCCTAATCTAATCAAAATTCGGTATGCTTTACCAGTTTTCATAATGTGGAAGTCAAACAGGAAGAAAGCTTAAACTAACCGAAAAGTTCTCATGTTTCTGTGGATGCGTCCAGCATGCGTTTTGTCAAAGTTCCACCTCTTGATGTGTGATGTCATGTTTTCTACACACAGCAGTGCGCAGTTGGCTCGTATTAACGGCCCCATTCTCCAACAGTGTGTGATTTCTCGAATTATCTGCTGCCAAAATGCTCCGTTTTTCAGAGTCAGCTGACGTCTACATTTAACTTTGGAGTAAAATCCCACAGTGTATGTGTTTTACCTTTATCTAAAATAATCTGTAGTATTTAGATATAATTAATGGAAATCCTTCCTCATAATTAAATACTGGCATGGGTTAAATTCTTTGGAAGAATATGTGAAGGAATGTAATAAATAACAAGTGAGAAACTTCACCTAGATGCAATATTTTATTTTGTGCAATGTTATTCTTATAAATTATTCAAATACTGTACTTTGATATCTGTCTTAAATTAACTTTATAAACAACACTTGAAAATGCGTTTTACAGCATCCGGGTAGACCAATATAAGCCTACTGTCAAAATAGTTACAGTGCCTTCAGAAAGTATTCATACCCCTTGACCTATTCCACATTTTGTTGTGTTACAGCCTGAATTCAAATGGATTAAATAAATATTTTTCTTCTTTCTGTGTAAGGCTCTAAGAGCTTTGCACACCTGGATTGTACAATATTTGCACATTATTCTTTTTAAAACTCAACAAGCTGTCAAGTCGGTTGTTGATCATTGTTAGACAGCCATTTTCAAGTCTTTCCATAGATTTCACGCCAATTTAAGTCAAAACTGTAACTAGGCCACTCATGAACATTCAATGTTCTTAGTAAGCAACTCCAGTGTATATTTGGCCTTGTGCTTTAGGTTATTGTCCTGCTGAAAGGTGAATTCATCTCCCAGTGTCTGTTGGAAAGCAGACAACCAGGTTTTCCTCTAGGATTTTGCATGTGCTTAGCTCTATTATGTTTATTTTTATCCTAAAAAACTCCCTTGTCCTTGCAGATGACAAACATACCCAAAACAGGATGCAGCTACCACAAGCTTGAAAATATGAAGACTGGTACTCAGTGATGTGTTGTGTTGGATTTGCCCCTAACATAACGCTTTGTATTCAGGACATAAAGTTAATTTCTTTGCCACATTTTTTTGCAGTTTTACTTTATTGCCTTATTGCAAACAGGATGCATGTTTTGGAATATTTGTATTCTGTACAGGCTTCCTTCTTTTCACTCTGTCAATTAGGTTAATATTGTGGAGTAACTACAATGTTGTTGATCCATCCTCAGTTTTCTCCAATCACAGCCATTAAACCCTGTAACTGTTTTAAAGTCACCATTGGCCTCATGGTGAAATCCCTGAGCAGTTTCCTTCCTCTCTTGCAACTGAGTTAGGAAGGATGCCTGTATCTTTGTAGTGACTGGGTGTATTGATACACCATCCAAAGTGTAATTAATACCTTCACCATGCTCAAAGGGATATTCAATGTCTGCCTCCTTTTTTTTACCCATCTACCAATAGGTGCCCTTCTTTGCGAGGCATTGAAAAACTTCCCTGGTCTTTGTGGTTGAATCTGTGTTTGAAAAATTCACTGATCAACTGAGGGACTTTACAGATAATTGTGTGTGTGGGATACAGAGATGAGGTAGTCATTCAAAAGTAATGTTAAACACTATTATTTCACAGAGTGAGTCCATGCAACGTATTATGTGATTTGTTAAGCCACATTTTATTCATTAATTTATTTAGGCTTGCCATAACAAAGGGGTTGAATATTTATTGACTCAAGATATTTCAGCTTTTCATTCTTAATTAATTTGTAAACATTTCTAAAAACATAATTCCACGTTGACATTATGGGGTGTGTAGACTAGTGACACAAAATCTCAATTTAATCCATTTTAAATTCAGGCTGTAACACACCAAAATGTAGAAAAAGTCAAGGGGTTTGAATACTTTCTAAATGCACTGTATATAGGTTTACACATGTTTACATATCTTATAACCTACAAATATGTAGGCCTAATGCATTTACTGTAGGCCTATTTGTTACTTTAGCTTACTGAAAATAAGCGGAAGTCAGATGTATTTTTGCAGAGAGCAATTGTAGAAGTTGCACAATTATTTGAACACATGTATGTGGGCCTGGTGTGAGGACATATTCTGGCAGCCCCTCACAGGTTCCTGCCTGTACGGCCATCTCAATGCCGGGGCCAGTGTATCTCTTTGACTGGGATGGTAATAGTGCATGTCACACAGCTTTTACCCGCATCCAGAGTCCCCAAAACCGACTCTGGAAAGTCTCAGAAAAGGTAGAAGTTTGGTCACTAGTAATTGAAGCTGTTGATATCTTGGGTTTAAAGAAATATGTAATATTTTACATGTGTAATCCACCCTCTTAACAGTCTAGAAAAATGTAGAAACCATCAATAGACATGGCAGCACTTAAAAGACCAACACACACACGCGCACACACACACTTCCCCCTGATTATACCCCCTGACCCTTTGCTCCACGTCTGCAGGTTAATGCTGGAGAAAGTTTGCCCAGGGGAGTGGGGTCGGAGCTGGAGAGTAAGAGGTTGATCTTACACAGTGACTGTGCTCTACAATGTGGTACTGGGCCAAATCTCATCTTCTTCACTGTGCAGTAAGAATAATACGATGTTTCACTCAATTCAAGCACAGTTTAGGCTACTAGTGCAACAAATACTCAACCTATATGGACTGTTTGTCTGTATTATGACCCAAGTCAATATGTAAACACACATTTCCAGACAAATAGGTTATTAAAGTGCACCATTTAATTTGCTTATATTTCATGTTGTAAAACACTTGTTAGATTGATGCCTATCCTGCTGAGCGTGAGGGGTGATTCTCTTCTGTTCACCTGTAAGTACACCATGCTTTGGGACTTGTATCCCTACAAGCATGGTATCTCAGTTTTCAGACATATCCCTTTTACGATTAACTAGCAAACATTTTTATTTCTCAGATTATGAAGATTTACATTGATTTTCACAGATTACACTCTTTAAACTCATCACTGATTGTTGTTTCGGATCAAATTAATAAAGGAAATTTACAATTTCAATAAAAATAGCGGTTGTGGGAAAAATCTGAGTGAGTCCCAGACAGAGTCAATATGGCCTGTAGCCATGAGCCATTCCTTCTTTCAGAACCCCAGGAGACTAACAGGTAGAGCATCCTGCACATTTATTCCATGCAGTGCCCAACCAGAGGAGAAGGGGTAATTTAGGATCCTTCTGGCCCCAGCGCCCTGGCATGAAGCATAGAAGCCACAGCAGGTCAGAGAGGGAGAGAGAGAGAGAGAGAGTGTCTGTGTGTGTCTGCATGCATGTGTGTGCTTGTCTGCATGCATGTGTGTGCGTGTGTATGAGACGACCCGCATCAGATCAAAGATGAGCTCAGGGCTGTATTTCACTCAGGCAGGATGACGCATTTATATCTCCCTGACACCTCCAAACCAGCTCCACATGGGCCCGGCCTTCCCTTAAAAAGCCCAGATCCTTTCTACAGAGGCCTGTCACATCAATCGACACACATCCTCCGCATGCAGCATGCTGACTTCAGATCAGGGTAATAAATAGAGAACGAGTGGCCGGGGGAGAGGTGGGAAAAGAGAAAAGAAAAAGATGACCCGGCATGTGCGGCATCAGTCAATGCTTTTATGAAGAGTCTGCCTAAAAAGACAAATCGATGGCCGCGGGTTCGGCCCCTGCAGAGGTTAGGGAAGCGTTACGAAAGGTTATGAATGAGATTAGTTGTTGGGGCCCTCGTTCTGTGATGAGTTGAATTTTGCAGTCCATGTGCATGCCAGAATTGGTTACCTCGGGGTTCGGACCGCAACCCTTACAAGGCTTACCCCAAAGGATCTTGGCAAGTGGATCTAAAGTGTAATCAGATGAGGGCCATGTGTGTGTGTGGGTGTGTGTGTGTGTGCGTGTGTGCGTGTGTGCGTGTGTGCGTGCATGCACAAGTGTGTATGTGTCATGGTG